GTTTAATGAAATAATGTCATTGAAATTCCAGAACTTAATTCTTTTGCTGAGACAGTGTTTAAGAATTATAAAGCAGATCCCCCCCTCTCTCTCCAACAGCATGCAATAGAAAGATGAATGCTAAACTTCTCATTCAAAGATCAAAGCAGAAATTAGGAAATTTAATGATAAAGATGTTATAATAAAAACATTAGAACAGAAATATAGATGTAGAAGACTATATACTTACCTGACAATAGATGGACACTAAAAACAACATGGCGGTGGCCATACAATTATACATACCCTTTGGATAATTATCTAGAAAATGATATGGACTACAAAAAGAATGTTCTGCTACACTCTCTCTCTCTCACACACACACACACATGTATGGCAAGTGTTCCACAGCTGTTTATCCAAACCCCCCAAATAGGTCCACAGAAAGCACTCCTGTTGTGCAGGCCCAGATTTCAAGCTCAGTACAGCAAGAGTCATTGGGTAACCAAGTCCAATAGGCACACCCAAAGTCCAGGAAAGTAGTCTAGGAGTCAAACAGGCCAGGATACACAACAGAAGGCACAGAACTGGGCACATTGCTCCAGCAACACTCAAGTCCTCAGGACAGGGTTAAGTAGGCAGCAGAGCCTTTCACAAGAGGCAAGGTTGCCTCCTCATGAGTAGTCCAGGTGATTGGTGTTGTGCCTGCTCTACCTATCCTTGGATCAGACGGAGGTGTGGACTCTACCTCCTCCTCCTTGCTAATGGGTGACAGTTGCTCCCAGTCCTTGCCTGGAACCTCCTAGTCAATTTATTGCAGCTGTGGCTCACCTCACTCATCCAATGACCCAGCTGAGGCTGCTGCATCAGGCTAGCATTCTCTGAGCCCCCATCCTGACCAATACCCAGCTCTGTACTTTCCTCTTGGGACTCAAACTCACCCTCCTCCTCTGAACCTGCATCTGGAGGGGTGTGTGTGTGTGTGTGTGTGTATCGATGACAAAGATCTTGGTTCCAACTGCAATCCAAGTGAAGACCTAAGAAATACTAAATATCTATTGAATTTACTGCTTCAGATATCAACAGTGCATTAGTCATATTTAGTCATCCTTCCAATCTGATTGGAAGATCAGAAATGCTCAGTTTGACTATTCAGAAAAGGACATCAGCATTCCTTAAGGACTCCTTTCACACAAAATTGTATCTATCTGAACTTTGGCACAAATGTTCCCCATAGGAAAGGCTATTACTTTTCTATTTCCTCCCAAAAATGATACCAATAGAGACAATTTTCGTTTGTTTTCTTTTTTTAAAAAAAGTAGAATCTATTATAAATGCATGAAGCCTGAAAATTCCCACACTGATTTCTTTCATATTTGGCATCATTTCTCAAAAATCAGTTCAATTTCTCCGCTTAATATCATGGAGAGAAGTTAAGATCCAACATACATCTGGGATCGCTGCATAAACAAGTAAGACTTCTTTAGGACATTATTCTAGTGTTTAATTAAAAATACTAGCTTGAATCACAGACATATTTTTACAAGGAATTAAGAACATAACCTTGTGTGATACCACCTTTATTTTACTTATTCAAATTTGTTATAGCACTTTGAGCAATACGTGAAATTAGAACTAGGGGTGTTGTGTTCTAATACTTCATTCGATGTTTGAAAAATTATGCACGGATAGAGAGGGGGGAAAAGTAAGCCAAAAATAGCATAATGTGACTTCTGAACTGCATCATTTGTTAATACCAAAGCAACTAAAGCTGAAAAGCATTGGCTGTCTGTGTGCAATAGATAACAACACTCACCTCCAACCCCATAAATATATTGATCATGCCATCTCTCTGACACTAACACAAATATCTTCCCAAGTCATTTCATTTGGTGTTCGCAAAGTTACCCAGCCCAGAATGTAATGACAGGACAGGTGTGAATTATTTATTATCCCTTGCCCTTTAGCAGATATAATTGGTGTTACTCTACACTAATATGGCCCAAAATACACATACTGAAAGTTGGCTTCAATGCTTTGGCTTCCCAGATCTAAAAACGTGGGTAGCAATGAATGTCAGGGACCTACAAAGCAAAGAACAGACCAACTGCTGCCCTTTAGAAGAAAACTTGTTGGATGGTATTCTGTGGCACAGAGACAGCCTTGAAAAGGGGTTGTTGTTTTTTAGCTGTTCTTGGTAAGTTTTTACATGCAATGAACCTTAAAATGTGAGGTCTATCTATGCTACTGAGAAATAAAAATAAATGTAACTGAATATGAATGCTGTATATATAGAACCTTAAAATCCACATTTATCCAATAGCATAAATAAGGATGAGCTAAAAATGATTACGATTAAAGTTTTGGCGATGATGGCTTATTTGTATATGATATTGACCTTTTTTAGGCTGCCTTTCAACAAATGACCCTATTCTGAATGATCATGCCAGTTAGATTGCAACCAAATTTTATAAATGAGTGTAATTACTAGCCAATTAGATTCACATTTAATAACTACCTTATATATGGAAAATCAAGTCAAGCCATCAGAAAGAAAAGGGATAATTGCTTATGTGGGAACAGGGTGGTAGTGGGGAGATGGTTCACCCTGAGTGCAGTGAAGAAAGGGTGGGAGGTTGCTGTTGAAGACAATAGAAAGACTAGAAGCAGCTGTAGAGTTGGGTCACTTCTGCCAACATATACCTATCAACTGTTTAACAATCAGCAAGGCTGCAGCAATGGAGGAAAATAATTGTCCTTTCAGGTCAGTTTTGATTCCTGCAGTTTTCTTGGTAGCATTTATTGAAGCATTTTTGCCAGTTTCTTGTTTGTAGCACTGAGAAGAGTGACTGGCTTAAGATCATCCAGTTGGTTTTGTGCCTAAGCAGGGACTAGAACTCAGAGTCTTCTCATTTCTAGTCTGATATTTTAACCTCTATACCAAACTGACTCTCAGTGACAAAGGTGGGTGTGTTAAGAAATGATCCACTCTAGTGATATCTGGAGTCCATTTGTTGGGGCACTCGTTAGAGCCAGAGGTGGTATTCAACAGGTTCTGACCAGTTCTTGAGAACCGGTAGCGGAAATTTTGAGTAGTTCAGAGAACTGGTAAATACCACATCTGACTGGCCCCATCTCCATCTATTCTCTACCTCCCGAGTCCCAGCTGGTCGGGAAGAAATGGGGATTTTGCAGTAACCTTCCCCTGGAGTGGGGAGGAAATGGAGATTTTACAGTATCCCTCCGCTGCCACACCCACCAAGCCATGCCACGCCCACCAAGCCATGCCCACAGAACCAGGAGTAAATTTTTTTGAATCCTACCACTCATTAGAGCCAGCAGGTAAGGAGCAGCAACAATATCAACTGCCAGAAAGTATTGTCAATCACCCTGTCTTTAATGGTGAAACTCTTGAGATTTTTTTCCCTTGAGATGACAATAATGGTAATTGGCTCCCCTGGCATTATGAAAATGAGATTGGGGGCACATTTTGCTGACTAGTGGCCTTGGCCACTAATCGGAATTGGTCACCGGGACCAGAGTTTTAGTCTTCCAAGCTTTCAGACTCACGTTGGAGCCCATCCTCAGGGAATTTTTCTCTCCAAAATGTGTACATTGGGCTTTTCCATGTGTAGTATTTATGCAGTGCCTGGTTTTGTGTGGCTTTTAATAGTTAATTGGGGTGTTGATGCCAGTTATTACCCTGTTTCCCTCAAAATAAGGCATCCCCTGATAATAAGCCCAATCGGGCTTTTGAGCACATGGCAATAAGGCCAAGCGCTTATTTCAGGGTTCAAAAACAAGTATAAGACAGGGTCTTATTTTCGGGAAAACACAGTAAGTCACTAGTTGTTTCCTTGTGCATGGTTGTTCCCCAGGTGTTGGAGCTAATATGATAGGAGATCTCACCTTATGAGATGCAGTGTATATGTATATCTAAGATAACCTATTAATTGTTATTGAAAATGAAAATTTTTGTTTTTTCGTTATTGACATATACTGCTCGTGACAGCAGTATTTTTTGGGGGGGGTTGTGTACTTTTAAAATTCTGCTGATTATTATTATTATTATTTTGTCTTTCTGTATTTGAAGCAATTAAAAAAATCTAAACTTGAGCGTCTGACTGAAGCAAGAAACAAATAGGATCAGAACTCAAAGTAGATATGGTCAGCCGTCCTCTTTCTCCTCCTCCTATTCTTGCTTGCCTTTTGACTTAAATCCTTTTTCTTCTCTTTCTGCTACTATTTCTCTTTGCTCAGAAAGCTGCTGAGTTCATACTAGATAAAGAGCTGGAGTTTGGCTGCTTTCTCCTTTATTTCTTCTTTTGGTTCATTCACAGCAATTTATTAATGTTTTGTGAAATTAACCTCCTCCTCTTCTTTTCTTCTGGTTTGCTTGAGTTCCGACACCCATTCCTTTGATGCCAATTTTATCACTGAATTGTCTGTTCTTCTGAAACCCAGGGCTTAAGGCCATCTAACTCTTTGTTTCCTCTCTTGCAAATAAGCTAATATCCTGTCCAACAAATTATTTCTTATTGTTTTATGCCCATTTATATGCTGAAATGAGACTGCTGAAGGCTGTAAACTTGCTTGCTTCCTGATATATTTCTAGAGACTAAATTTAGAGTCATAGTTACCCTGCATATTTACCAAAGAAACCCTTTTTTCTTTTCTAGCACTACTACACAATGCATCCCATAAACAGAATTATAAATATGAGCATACATGGTTACTCATAAATAATATCCATTAGATGGGTGTTTAATCACATACAAATGCATTCAATTGCAATGTTAATCTTGCAGGGGTTTGCAGCAGTTAGTGATGGGAGAAGCAAAGCAAAATGAATGCAGAAAGAAAAAAATGAATAGATTTTTTTTTAGCAGTCCCAACTTTAATTGCTTGCTTACATAGGGGCTTTGAAACTAGGCCCCAAAGGGATCCACATGATGTTAAGGCTACAGTTTACCTACCCCTGCAGTAGATTTATTTAACAATTGAAATGAGGCTGCTGGCAGTTTGTTCAAAGGTTAAAAGCTGCTCTTTTATTGTGTGTCTCATTTGCTTCTGTTTTTTTTTTTTTGCCTTGGGGCAGCTTCTTTCCTGGGATTTGACCTCTGTTTTGCCTGGACCACATTCTCACTATGTTCTGGACTCTGCAGGGCTACAAATCAGCAAGAAATATAAGATCAGTCCAATTCCTGCAACGTGCAGGAGAACACTAAAATGTGAAAAGATCAAATCTTTGTGGTTCATACCACAAAGGGATTCTGTAGACACATTTATTGATGAGTCTCTCTGAACACTGTCCTAGATTTCAATCTGCCCTAATAAGGCTAGATTTGAGTTTAAATTACTTCAGTGAACTTGATGGATATAACTTGAAAAAAAAAAAACAGAATGAAAATCCCAATCCACCCTTAAAGTTCATTTATAGCCCTTGGTGAATGACACTTTCCCTATCCTGACTACAAAGCAGGGATATTGTAAAGGTAAAAAGGTAGAGAAGAGCCAAAACGCACTATTCTGGGACAGAAAAATGACACATAACACTAATGCATTCTTGCCTAGATGTGATCTTAGCTGAGGTGGCTGCTTCTCCTTTTCAGTACAGCTTCTCAGGAATTAAACTGTAGCTATTGGCACGTGCCTAGTGCCGCATAATGGGGTGAGCTCCCATTACTGGTCCCAACTTCTGCCAATCCTAGCAGTTCGAAAGCACGTAAAAAATGCAAGTAGAAAAATTGGGACCACCTTTGGTGGGAAGGTAACAGCATTACATGCGCCTTTGGCATTTAGTCATGCCGGCCACATGACCACAGAGACATCTTCAGACAGCGCTGTCTCTTCAGCTTTGAAACAGAAATGAGCACCGCCCCCTAGAGTCAGGAATGACTAGCACATATGTGCGAGGGGAACCTTTACCTTTACCTTATTGGCAATTTCAAAAAAGCCAGTTTGACCAATAACTGTGATTCCATTGAACAATCTTATGAACCTGCATCTTCCAGATAAGTTAGATTTCAGTTCTCCTTATTCCATCCATTATGAATAAAGTCATTTGGGAACCAATAGGACTTGGTTTTCCACTTATCTGGGCAACAGAAGATAGCCATTGCCTCCAGCAAAACAATGAAATATAGTTGCTAATATCTAACATTATTTCCGAAACTTCAGTGAGTCCCAAGTTTCTCATAATCTGTTAGGAACAGTCACACTGAATCTCCTTATTGACATATATTGCCGGTTATAAATCAGTGTGAACTAACAGACCACTACTTTCTTGTGTAAATAGATATCAGCAGCACTGATGTGTGCTCAATTGCCAAGTAACGGATATTGTATTTTCTGCTTGCCAAACTCTAGGAGGAAATGAATGTTATCCATATAGCATAATTTATTATTTCTCTAACTCCAGAAATATTGAGTCAGGATTGACAGTAAAGCTGAGAAAAAAAGTTTTTTAGCAGATGACATGTTGTACAGAAATGAATGAAAGGAAAGAAAATAATTTGCAGTGGTGGCAAGGGGCAGGCCGGGGGGAGAAAGCTGAAAAGTAGCTGATCTGGTGTAATTAAGTATTTCTGGAAGGTAATAGAATCAGGAAAAAAGGTTTAAAGTAAAGTATTGGAAAACAGTATTTAGAGCCTGAAGCAAAAAGTGCAACAGTAACATATATCCTTTGAGAGTAGTATGCCTTCAAATCTTGACTCCTAATGACTCAGCCTTGTTCGGCAGGCTGAGGCAAAGAGGCAGTCCTGGAACCAGCGAAATCTGGGGGCTGGGCAAGGGACAGAATGTATCTGCCCTCAGTGTGGAAGGGATTGCCACTCTCGAATTGGCCTTTTTAGTCACACTAGGTGCTGTTTTAGGACCTCTTTCCAGAGCACGATACCATAGTCTCTTGAGACTGAAGGATGCCAATATAAATGACCACCATGCAGTTTTCTGGAGCTTTTATGGAGAACTAGATGTCCTGAAGGAGTGGATCCAGAGCAATGACCAGACAGTGAATTCTGGCTGGTGAAGTCTGTCTGGAAAAAGGAGAGCTCAAGAGATCACCCACCTGCACTCTGGACAGCTCTTTGCGGTAAGTTCATGACTGGAGTTGATTTCAACCAAGCTCACAGCTGTATTGCAGTCTAATTGGACACAACGTTTACACATGCCTCATTTCTTAAACATTTTTGGACGTAACTAATTTACAGCTCTAGAGATACTTTCTGAGCTTCACAATAAAAAAAAAATCTGCTTGATGAGTTAATATTTTTTCTTGATTACAAAGGAATAAAGAAAAAAAGTAAGTCTTAAGACTTAATATTTGACAAAAAGCTTAACAAGGAGTGAACATAAGAAAGTTTTAAAAGGATAAAGGAGATAGTTATTTGGAAAGTACTTTTAAATAAATTGGAATTCAATTAGACAAACTTTCTTGTGACTCTTATTTGTTTACTATTAAATAGTGCAGACTATTGGATTTTACAAAACAAAATATAAAAGTAATATGAGACAGACTGTCATGCTGTTTGTAAATACAGAATGTCATTTGAGACAAAAGGAGCTAGAAAAGTGGGGGGAGGGGAGAGAAAGCTTGCCTCCCCCCCCATTTGAAACAGTTTCATTTTTGGATTATAATACCATAATGACAGAAAAGTGGCAAAAATAGTAGAGGGAAGAAGAAGATTGCTTCGGCAACCTGCAGAGAGAAGAATTACACCAGATTTGCTTCAGAAAATGTTTGAATAACTTGGCAATAAACTGAATCATTTGATACTAAATCGACTTCTAAGATGACTTCTAAAGATGAAAGAAGAGATGAAAAAGAATTTAAGAAGATAGAAAGTTCAGTAAAACAAGTGCCTGGAAATGTAAAACAAATTAATGACAAAGTAGACATTTTGGAGAGTAAGACAGAAGTTATACACTAGAGAATTGGAAAGACAATTAGATAATATGGCTCTCTTGGAGCTGAGAAGAAATTTTGGTTTGAGTTTTATAGGTTAAGTCTATTTGTGAGATATAGCAGCCTAAAGACAATTAGGTTATGTTTTCTAACTTTGAAGAATCTGGACCTAAATGACAGCTCAATTACTTGTTCAAAAGGAAAAGCATTGGGGCATCCATAGAGAACTTCATCATTGCAACCTGCTCTTACAGTGAAATCCCCATGTATTCGACTATGTTTACTTGGAACCTATTCAGCTAAGAGTATGGAAGGTATAATAAACCTGGTTCTAGGTTTGGGTGACCTGTGAATGGGCTGTTGAGGAGCAACAAAGAAATTGTTCAAAGATTGACAAAGCTGATACAGCATTCTTAACCTGAGGTAATTATTTTACAGTTTGAATATACTAATTTAGAAGCTATAAATAGACCAAGTCCACCTTTGAGTCTGATATCTCTGAGGCTACATTGTATAGTGCCTAGTAGAGAAAAATAGTTGGAAATTGAAACCAACTTCCATGTGTCCTGCAAAATATATACATTATTGATCTCTAACTCAATCATCTCAATCGATAGATAGATAGATAGGGGTCCACCTACAGAGCAGACTTTCTGCTGTCAGCTAGAGTGGCTATTGTCCTGAGCCTATGAGGTAATTTCAAAGAAAAAGTTTCATGAGCAGAGCAAATAAGGCCAAATGGAACGCCCCACAGCTACTAATGACTCAGTTCCAAAGTTCTGATGGATGCACCCTCCCTTCTTTAGGTCGCATGATCACATTTTGGACATTTGGCAACTGGCTTGCATTTATGGCTAGTTGGCATCCCGCAGTCCTGTTACCATGGTTTTCAGTGTTTTTGTTTGTTTCCAGCATTTACTTCGTGTTTTTGGCCAAAATAAAAAAAGTCTATTGAAGAAAATGGATTTATTTGATGATTGTGGCTTTTACTTAACAACTGTGGCATTTACATAGTGACCACAGCATTTGCTAAACAACCACCACAAAAATAGTCATAAAATCAGACATAGTTACATGATGGCCTGTTTAATGAGCACCACGACTTACCACCATAATTCCAGATTCAATTACAGTTGCAAGTCAAGAATCACCTGTGGGATAAACATCTGGAAAGTCCTAAAAGGGCTGTGTTACATTGATTAACTTGGTGTTTCCTGCATTTATCTGAATGGGTTTTGAATTGGAGCACCTTCTTTTTCATTGTTTTTGAGAAGTGTTAAGCACTCAGAAAATGAACTTGTCAGCTTTTCAACAGGAGGACAGTGGGAGGGTGGTAACATGTTGAGAAACTCAGTTGCAGCAGTTACTGATTGAAGCATTGATTTAATTGCCTCAAGTTTGCATATAATTGTTGATTTTCTGTAGAGAGGGTGTGAAACAACTGAGCTAGTTATTTCTCATCCTCCATAGGGTCGACTGATGACTGTATCTTCTCCTTAATTAAATCGAAAGTGTTGTGCCTCCTGTGCTTATCTGGACCTGACCTTGGAGTTGGTGGAGCATTCTGCTGTGTAGGTAATTGCTGGCTGAGTTTATGAACTCTGTGGTTTATGCCATCCTCTCTTGTGTGCTTGGCTCTCATCCCAGAATTTTGCAGAAGCCCTACACTAGTATTGTGAAAGACACATATTGGTGTAATTTCAAACCCCCCTAGAAAATGTTTTTAAGTTTAAAGATCATTCAAGGCAAAATGCCTAAAAATCAATATTATTCTTTCAAGTCCATGCCATCTGGAAAGCCAGGAGATTTCTGTGAGCTCACTGGAATATGCTCTGCAGTAAAGGAGTTGTGAGAGGCGGTGTAGGGCTGCTCATCTATTTTGCCACCTGCCCTCATTAAGAGGATTAATTCAAGTCTGGACCAAAATATGGGTGTCACTGCAAGACTAGCTCATCTCTGACAGTTGCCATACATATAGGGTCTTCTTGCAGCATAAGGATTTTGAGTAAATTCTGGAATAACTGAATTGGTAACTGACTCCTTAACAGTTTTAGTTACATGTTTTTCCATTATAGCCTTATGTTCATCTATTTTCAGACTGGCATCTAATAGTGGATTGAAAATTGCAGTAACTATTTTAGCAGTTAAAAGGCAATCCTTAGCCAGTCCACATCCACATTTAAATTACTTGTGGCTTTAAATGTGTCCTCTCTTCTATCCCCTACAGAAGCCTCATTGTTGTTATTGGAGGAAGGGAAATCATGAGTTGGATAAGGCATAGGATTTATGAGTGAAGATTGCAAAGGAAAAGGAAAGAGGACTTACCTGCTACGTAGTATGTATTGTTTGTTTAAACATAAAAATAAAAAACATTTTATAAAAAAAATGTTATAACTGTCTGAAGGCTTAGAATGTTCAGAATGCTTGAAATTTTCTCTTTGTGACATCTCAGGCTTGTTCTTTATCTTTTAATTCTTCTTTGTCCCTGCCTTGTGGCGATCACTGCTTCATACCCTCAGTAGGTGTTAGGAACAGTTAGATTCCAGGCTCTAAAATACCAACTAATCTTAATTCTAAAGTTCTAAAATTACTAAATCTAGTTCAGGGGAATAAAATTACTAATTGACATTAAAAGAAATATCTAAGTAAATGATTTTAAAGCTAAATAAAAGTAGCTAAACTAGAAGAGTAAAAAGCTCACCTCAAATGATTTCCTCAGGCAATATATATTTTGGTCAGCTCACAAATTATCTGCTGTAGATTATCTAACAATTTCTAGTGATCTGGCCCCTTGCTTTAAACATTTTGGCATGGGCCCCAGATCAGAAAATGATAACCTCCCTTTAATTCTCACTTGCAAAGTTAGGCAAGGCCTACCGTAATTAGGGACCAAGTTAAGGACCATTTAAAATGCTTGATAGGAGATATCTCTTTTAGGATCAGATGGAATGGGCCCCTTGAAGGTAGGATAATCCAATGGTTTTACTCAGAGAAAGATATTACATATTTTTCAGCCCATTGTGTATTAGAGGCATGCTCAGACCCAACTGTCCAATGAGACGGAAGTATACTTGATATATATCATGATCTCATAGTTAAACTCCAACCTTTTGTAAAAAAAAAAAGGCAAATACCAATATGATCAGGCAGGGATGGTGGTCTAAGAGTTCGTTTGAAAAATCTTGCTTGCCACGAAACAGCATTAAGGGAATTCTATGCTGCCTTACTCAAGGTAAATTCATTAGATTCCACCCACATTTTAAAGAAGCCCAAAAGACAATATAATAACGTATCTTTTATTTTATGTACACTGAGAACGTATGCACCAAGACAAATTCCTTGTGTGTCCAATCACACTTGGCCAATAAAGAAATCTATTCTATTCTATTCTATTCTATTCTATTCTATTCTATTCTATTCGAAATATAGAAGGAAAAAAAACCCCTCAAGATCAGAGAAAAAAATTGTCACTAATTAAAGCCACAAAGGCCAAAAATGCTTCCCTATTTTGGCATATTATAACAAACTATTCACATATCAACATTACACAATTACATTGTAGCATGCCCTAAAGTACCTGGGTACACCACTTCCAAGACTTTACTGTGATCCACATGCTAGCACCTAAATGATGGATATAGCATTATCTTCACTGTTGCCGTGGTCCCCGGTCACATGTAAGGAAGTCAAAAATCTCATTAACTAGCTTAAGTGTGGTAAGGCCCCCCCGGGGGTGACTGTATCCCCCACGAGCTAATTAAATCCTATTCAAATTGGTGAGCCTCTATACTGGCCTCTTTATTTTCATACATTAGCTACACAGCCAAGATTCCAGAGGACCGGGGGAAAGCCATAATTGTCTCTTTATATAGAAAAGGTGACTGGAATGATCTGGCTATTAAAAGCCAATTAGTCTACTGAGCATCATTAGTAAACTATATACCAAGTAGTTATTTATGAAATTCTAAACCTGGGTAACAGGGAAGGAGATAATCGACCCTGAGCAAACAGGGTTTCAACCAGGACAATCTACTGCCTAGTGCTTCAACGTCTGGCAGGCAAATATACAGTACAAACGACCCTGAATTGATGTGTATGAAAATTCTCTGTTATCCAGGTCATAGTTGTATCAAAGGTGTGTTTTTTTTAGACACACTGATTTGAATCTACATACAGCCTTTATTGAGTTCAAGGCAGCTTTTAACAGTCTCTCAAGGGTAAGAGTTTAGGATAGTCTGAGCAGATCCTCTACAGCAGTGGTTCTCAACCTTCCTAATGCCGCGACCCTTTAATACAGTTCCTCATGTTGGGGTGACCCCCAACCAGGGATGGGTTCTAAATTTTTTTACTACCGGTTCTGTGGGCGTGTCTTATTTTGTGGGTGTGGCTTGGAGGTCATGTGACTGGGTAGGCGTGGCTAGCTGGTCATGTGACCGGGTGGCCATGGCTATGTGTATAGGGACTATTCAGAGGGCTGAAAAAAGTCATTTCTGACAGATCCTCGCACTTTTGACTGGTCCTCACACTTATGACCATCCTCACATTTATGCCCGTGCAGCATTCTTAACAACCATGTCACTCATTTCACAACTGCTTCTTTTCACCATGGTGATAAGATAGGGCAAAAAACGTAAAATGTGAGGATAGTCATAAATTCGAGGACTGGTCAAAAGTGCGAGGACCAGTCAAAAATAACTTTTTCAGCCCTCTGAGTAGTCCATATGCACAAAAGGACTACCCAGAGGGCTGAAAAAAGGGATTTCTGACAGGTCCTTGCACTTTTGACCGGTCTTCGCACTTATGACTGGTCATCATTTATGCCCATTGTAGCATTCTTAACAACCATGTCACTCATTTCACAACTGCTTCTCTTCACCATGGTGACAAGATAGGGCAAAAACGTAAAATGTGAGGACAGTCGTAAGTTCGAGGACTGGTCAAAAGTGCGAGGACCAGTCAGAAATAACTTTTTCAGCCCCCTGAGTAGTCCATATGCATAAAAGGATACAGCAATAGAGAGGGATGAAGGAAGGGAAGGGAAATTAGAGTAGGAGTGAGGGTAAGAGAGGGAGGAAGAGAGGAGGAGAAGGAGAAAGGAAGAGGAAGTAGGGAGGAGAAGAAGAGGGGGAGGAAGAGAAAGTAAGAAGGAAAGAAAAGAGAGAGGTGGTAGGTTTGAGGAGAAAGATTGCTGAACAATAAAAAAGATGAAAGGGAAGAAAGCCAGCCCTAAACAAATATAAATATATTAAGATAAAGAATGAATTGTTAAACTTTAAAGAATAAAAGAGAACAAATATGAATAAATAAGAATAATTAGAAACACACATACAAACATACAATGTATTTTCTTTGAACAGAGTATTTGGCCGGTTCACAAATTTAAACAGTGTTTAGTCATTTCAATTAAATTTACAATATCTATATTTCCTTTTTGCCATATTTATTCCTCATCTATTTTTGTAAAAAACCAATATTACCCTTCATCCTCATCTCTAATCTTAATCAAATTAATTTTTCCCTTCTATTCTATATTATACCCCTTCCCATTGTCATCTATTTTTATATCCATCCTCACATTGGTTAATTATGTAATATTACAGTTTAATATAAATTCAACATTTTAATATAAATCAATTAGTTATATAACTACCTTTTTTGTATATTAATCAATATGAACATGAATATTCCAATTATTTCCATGCAATCCAATTTCTTACAAATCAATTAATTATATTTACCAATAATAATAAACCAAATAATTTCCCCCATATATTCCTCCAAACCACAACTTAACCATTTCTGCTTTCAACACAATATACAATTAATAGTATCTCAATTATTACAATTCCCTAGTTAAATAGAGCTTTTTTCTCTTTTTTTTCTTTTTTTAAATTTGATTTATATGCCGCCTTCTCCAGAGACTCAGGGCAGCTTACAATGCGCTAAGCAATAGCCTTCATTCTTTTGTATATTTATACAAAGTCAGTTTATTGCCCCCACAACTGGGTCCTCAATTTACCTACCTTAGAAAGGATGGAAGGCTGAGTCAACCTTGAGCCTTGGCGAGATTCAAACCTGCAGTAATTGCAGGCAGCTGGTCTTAATAACCAGCTTAATAACAGGGTGCATTAGACCACTGTACTACCAAGGCTGTTGGTGTTTTAAAATCTTGAACTCTCCTCTTTTTCCCTAAATTTCCCATTGTTTGCACCTACCTTTTTTGGTGAGGAAAAAGAAAAGAAATCTGCCTGGCTAATTTTCCAACGTTGCAGCAACAGCAAAGCCAACAGCCTGCTTTACTTTCAGTTTTGTTTTTCAGCATAGATAGGGGGAAAAAAATCTCTCCAGCAAGCAGCAGAGCCCTGAGCAAAACAGCTGAGAGCAAATCAGCTGAGAGTCGGGAGCCGATCTAATCAAGGGCTAATTAGCCTATGCTGAAGCTCCACGGGCCAATAAAATTACAAAAAAACACCGAACCATTTGTTAAATTGCTGGCTCGCTCACCCCTCGCCCATCACTAAAGCCCCGCGGCAAGAATTTAAACAGTTTTTTTTCCTCTAGCCATCAGCTGGGACAGGAGGTAGCAATAGATTGGGAGTGGGCAGGGTAAGTGAACGGCCGGCGATCCAACAGAGCAGAGAGTGAGGGTGAGTGAAAGCATGGGGGGGCGAGAGAGGGCTTTGGCAACCCCTGTGAAATGGCCGTTCGACCCCCAAAAGGGTCAGGACCGCCAGTTGAGAAGTGCTGCTCTACAGTGTGTTGTGACCCAGGCCCAAGTAGTTAGTATTAAATACAAACAGTTCGAAAACAAACAGACTTTATTAGAACAGCTGAGAATTAACTCATTCTCAGTGCAGTCCAAACTAAATTAAAGCAAATTCTTCAAAACACCATTCCACAGTTTATCACCTGACCGTGGGATAATTAGGCAAACTGCCATGGCTTTTCTTGGCAAAAGTTTAGAAACAGAAGGCGGCGACAAGAAATGAATACAGTGAAACAAGAAGCAATTCTCTCAATGGTTGTTTTCCAGCAAAGAGGCCAAGAGCCGTTGCTGGTCTTTTAAGCCTTATGGGAGGGGCCAATCATCTCTTGGCCCTACTCCTGAGTTGTCCTCTTTGCTTTAGCTGCTCTTGCCTTCTGGCAGCTCTTCTCATATGTGCACTGGGAACATACTCCTCCTGTTCCTCTGCCTCTCTACTGTCAGCTCTGGAGGCTCCGAAGTCTGCACATCACGCCCCAATGGCCCTGGCCCCATTTCTGCCTCTAATTCAGAGCCCTCATCTGGGCCTTCCCCAGCCTCCAGGACTGGCCCATGTTCTTCAGCCTCATTGCTGTCCGACTCCACAGGCTGCTGGCGGACCACAACACAGCAGAGGTGTCAAACTCACATCGTCATGGTGGCATCACGTGACGTATAGGGACTTTTTCCCCAATTCGCTAAACCGGGTGTGGGTGTGGCCAATGCATGACACATCCTGGAGTTGAAGAGGGGGAAGGCAGTCCTTTTCTCATCCAGGGAAAAATAATATTCTGCCTTTTTAATATTTCCTAGAATATTTCATTCTTCTAGAAGGAGGGTGGGTGCTAATTTCCTACACTAGCACCATTGCTTTTCAAGAGTTGATTAAAACCCTTTAGAAGATTAATATCCATGCACCTAAATCAGCTGATAAATATTTCCCAATTTTGCTCTATGCTGATGATGCAGTTCCTCTCTCCTTGTCTTTTATAGGCAGGAAGTAGACACTAAAAATTCTGGTATCCCACTGTAAGGAGGAACAATTAATAATCAATTGCAATAAATCTAAAGTTGTAGTTTTTTCCAACAAAAGACAAAAGCACAAGTGGAAAATTGATTTCCATGAATTAGAGCAAATGTTTTAAATACTTGGGTATAGTATTTCAGGCCTCTAGGAAATTAACAGCCCAGGTAAATTATGCCACTTCTATTGCCCAAAAGAACACACAAGCCGTAACTAAATTTTATAGGTCACAGGGGGCAAATTGCACTCCAGCAGCAATCAAATTGTTTATGGCTAT